CTGTTCAAGGAAACGATCACTACTATTGGTCTACTATGCTTACTCTGCCCTCAAAAGTATGTAGATAACAGAGTAGACTTTGCCAATAAATTATTACAGGCACTGTTCTCCAATGCTGCCCTCATCAAGCTGAGTGCCGCAAACAACACTTGCCTCAACAAAGATCTAAAATTTCATCCACTTCCTCCCACCAGAGGAGACAGAGGAGAAGCTGAGGATTTCCTGGAGATTGCCAAAGCCAGGACTTGAAATGGGAAGTACTTCCATCTTTTCCAAAATAAAATTTAAAAAAAAAAAAAATAAAAAAAAAAAAGGTTGCAGCAGAGCATAGAGCAGATAAAGGCAGCTAGCAACCTGATGGTCTCAAGCCTGCTTGGGCTAATCCAGCTGCAGTGGTTCTAGAGGGCTGCCATGCCACCAGACCAAGGTTAGGAGACCCGGGGCTCACGTGCTGCTACAAAGCAGCTCAAAAGCAGGACTGACCTAACTGCAGTGGTTAGGTGGAACAGAAGACAGCACAGTCACCACCAGGCCTGGCTAGAGCAGCTAACACTGAAGAAAAGCACACGAGATCCCGTTTCTTCTCACTTCCAAAGGTCAGCACTGCCGTAGAGGTGGCAGGTCAACAGAGCAGGTTATGACAGACCTTGTCAGGGAGCGATTCCAGCCAGCAAACACTCACATGGGAGCCAGGGACAGCAGGGCTCAGCGTGCAAGGGTGTGGAGGCTGATGGAGGCAACCCGTACAACCACCACTGATCCATCCACTACTGTAACACCATTTCTAAAGAAACAGGTTCGTTCAATCAGCCACTCAAGTCCGAGAGCGCTGGTCTGCTCACATCTTACACAGCTCTCAATGCCACAAGCACCTCCCTGGTCCCCAGGATTTTCTCCACAAGCTCTATCATTTTTTCTTTCTCGGAGGTGAATCTAAGAGAACTGACACTGCACCCTCCACGGAGATGTCAGGTGAACAGAGATGGTTATGGCAGTCATCGCAATGGCTGGCTGTCATCAGCCAGTCTTTTTATCTATGATCTTTTGCAGCCTGCAGATATCTGCAGACCTGGTGTTTCTCGTTCGTCCCTTTTGGATTTCCTCCCCCACTCCAGTTCTCATTAAGTCAACAAGCTTACTGATGCTTAAAAAAAAAAAAAAAAAAACAAAAAACAAACAAAAAAACCCCCTCACCAGCTGGGAACTGTTTGAACATAATAGTCAAATTATCAGACAGGGAAAATATACCATTGGACTGATATCAGGCCTGGCATAGATCGCCTGAGCCATGCAGCAGCATCCATGAGCATGAGGTCATGGTTCAATGACACAGGCAGCAACACTGGCTCAGACAGTCTCCTGTTCAGCCAGATACGATTTGCTCCCTCTGCTCTGCCTTTGGCAATGCGCAACGGGTTAGTTGTGCCAGCTTGTTTGCACCATGGGTGACCCTCCGAAAAGAGAGTTATATTTAACCCAGGTCATTTCAGCAATGCGGTTTACTACACAGCCCCACAAAACAAGGTGACAGCAAACCGCAGGACAGGGACAGAAGCTTCTTAGACTGGCTTCCACCAACGCCAAGATCTCCTGAAGGTATGCCCTGCTACAACTGCTCCAAGGCCCCTCGCTGTGATGAGATCCCATCAGGATTCACCCTTCAGGCAACAGCCAGCCGGGCTCCAACCTCCCGGTTCACAGGCGGGGAGAGGGGTCAGCGTGAGTAAGGCTGTTTGCCAAAGACACCAACAGAGCTTGGGGCCGGGGCCAAGCCAGCAGAAAAGGCCAGCAAAAATCCACCCTCAAGTGCTAGGAATTATGCATCAATTAGCATCAGCCATAACCATATACCCGAAGGAGATGGCAACAAAGAACATTTCAGAGTGACACAGTAACGCAACTGCAGAACACGCAACAGCATCCTGTTACTCACAGAACCTGGATTTAGAGTTCTTTTAAGACAATAATTAGCTGTTACAATTACACTGAATATTCAGGTGGGCCGATACACATTTTATTTCCCTCCTCTTCTCCCAGCTGGCTCTGTTTCCCAGCAGCAAAGCCTTGGCTCCAGTGAAGATGCAGGTGTCTCAAAGGAGGGGAAGCTCTTTTGTGGTCTTAGTTCCTCCAGCAACCGGTGGTCCCGCAGCCTTCCCAGTGGACAGGAGGGACTGGTGGAGGTCCGGATGCTCCCTGGCAATTACACCCAAGGACTTCCTCATGATGGCAGGCCCTTTTGGATCTCTTATTTCAGTTTACATTGTACGTAAAATAATGGCATTGTACATTGGCAGCATGCTACTGAGCCAGGGTAAAAAGCTGTCCACTTTAAGGGATAATTAAAGATTTCTGGCAAGGGGCAGAGTGAGGAACGCCAGCACAGACCCCGAGCATCTCCTCACTGACTTACACCCAGCTTTGCACCCTGTTTTCCAAATCTGGGGGGAGAGAGGAGAAATTGGTGACAGATTAGGCAAGGTGAAGTTTCAAAGAGATGCTATTTTCAGAAAACTACTCCGATACTCACAATTTCTCTCCAAACAGATTTTGCCAAGGCTGCCAGACTTAGTATTTATAGTCCATGAGGAAATCAAGCGCATAACTATACATGAGACTACGCTCAAAGAACGGAGGAAGTAATCTGCTGCGGGACAACTTTCTGCACCCAGTAAAGTTTTTGTCAGGCTCAAGAAAGCGAAAAGCCTCTGCAAAATTAAAGTATGACAGGAGGTACAAAAGAAAACGTTTCCCCAAGCTACAGAAACTGCAAGAAGCTGAGAAAGCCTGTTATTTCCAATGTTAAAGTTTAAGATGTCTAATGCAGAAGTGAAGAAATATCAAAACCATGCCACTGAAGTTTGAAAGTGAAGGCAGAGAGAACCATTTCAGCTCTTCCCAGTGTCATGCTAGAGGTTTCCACTTAAAAAAAAGGATGCGTGTGCTTTTCAGTTGTACAACGCTTTTAAAAACATGTATTAGAAAACAATCGGGTGAATTTCTGACACCCCCCCACCATTGTTATCCTGACCTGGCTTGTCCCAAAGGACTTCATAAGCACATTCCCAATCAGGGGGTGTTGGGAGAGCCTTTCACACCACCAATGCCCTGCTGGGATAGGAAAGTGGATTCCAACTTCAGCAGAATTTCCAAAATTAATACCACACACCAGCAACAACATCACACTCTTGTGGCGCCAATTGTTTTTTAAAAAAAACAAAGCAGGAGCAGCACAGTTATTACTCCCAGTAGTTCACTACCATGGCACTACCCGGCCTTCACCAGCCTCCAGCATAAGCAAGGCCACCCGTCTGCCTGCACCTTACCCTTTTAATTACAGTCCAAAATCCCATTCAGCCCACCACTGAGCCTTACCACCAGCTAACCCCAGCCCTGCACACCAGCCCTGTCACCTTTCTCCACATCCCAGCATGAACCCAGCCCACTTTTTGTCCATCTCTTTTAAAAACACAGGCATCTGGAGACACTTCCCACAGAAAGGTATTTGACACGATGTGAAAGAAGCCCTAATTCTGATCAGGGCCTCAGAATAACACAAAGATGCCCAGAAACACCACTACTACTGACGACGACAATGCAGACAGGAGGCCCCAATGCTCCGTGCAGCCGTGCAGGACACCCCGTGGAACTCCTGTACTGGGGACCAAGGTGCCCAAGCCCCTGGCCCGCTGGGGCGTGGGGCTTCGAGGAAGGCACGGGTTACGGAGCCAGGAGCTGCTTCCTCACAGCCCTAGCCTCGGACTATCCCCCGCTACGGCTGACCCCCAAAAAGAAAACCCCACTCCCCCGCGGACCCCAGAGGAGG